GGATATGCAGTTTAATGGCCACCAGTCCATTAAAACTGAATGTTCAGTGACTTGGAATCAGTAGTACCCCAAGGGAGAGGCCAGCTTTAGGACTCTGGAACCTTACCAGATTCATGCTGTGGATTTGGGGAATCCTGAGGAGTTTCCTTTCTTATGATCCCAGTTAAATAAATTGAAAACTTTTATTTTTAAAACAACATACAGGCTTCTGATTCCAGAAACACATGAAAGATATAATTTTTTCTAATTTTCTCACCAAATGAAAAAAACAACTCCTGAACATTATACAGTTGAACAGACCATAAAATGACTCTGCAAGCTGGACAGGAGGCAGACAAGCTAGAGATTTTAAGACTCAGGAAGTGACAAGATAATGAGTTCCTTTGATTTTATTTTCTCCTCCCATATCTCAGACTTGGATTAAGAGAAGACAACTCAGAAAGGCCAGTGGGCACAGATTTTAAAAAGTCCTAACAAATGTGTATTCAGGCAGTGTTATGATTTGCTCCTAATTCAATATAAAAATGTATGCTGTATCTAGAACAGAATTAATCTTATAAGGGGAAAAAAGACATAAATTATTAGAGTGGATTAAAAAATATGACCCAACTATCTATACATTCTACAAGAAACTCACTTCAAATATAGCAATATACCCAGTTTGAAAATAAATAATGAAAAACAATATGTCATGAAAATATTATTCATTATAAGAATTGAAGACTAGGATTGAGTACAGTTTATTCAGGTATGCAAGGCTCATTCAATATTGGTAAAATCAGTTAATATAATTCACCATATTAACAGGCTAAAGAAAAAAATCACAGGTAATATCAATCAGTGGAGGAAAAGCACTTGACAAGATTCACCACCCATTCTTAATAAAAACTCTCAGAAAAATAGGAATAGAGTGGACCAGTCTCAACTTGATAAAAGACATCTACAAAAACCTACAGCTAACATTATAACTCATTGTGAAAGACTGAATTCTTTCCCTCTAAGATTATGAGCAAAGTGGCTGTAGGAAATTCTTGTAGCTGCACCACTCCAATCTCTCTGTTATTTCATGGGCTTCTTTTCTGTATGTGTTCATATGGATGGCCTTCTGAGTACACCAGTCATTGGATTTAGGACTCACTCAAATCTATTAGGAGTTCGTTAGCTAATTACCTTCGCAGTGACCCTATGTCCAAATAAGGTCATATTCTGAGTTTCTAGTAGACAGGAGTTTTGGGGGGGATGGGAGGGAAGAGGGCACTATTCAACTTTGTACATGTACCATGGCTGTATCAGTGTCGATATTCTGATTGTGATATTATACTTGAGTTTTGTTAAATCTGATCATTGAGGGAAACTGGGTAAAGAATATATGGTATCTCTGTGAAGTTACAATTTCATGTTAATGTACAATTACCTCAAAACAAAATATTTAATTTGAAAAATTATAAATTTACTGCCCTTAGGGGTTATATGCTGGTTGTATTTTCAGAATACCTCATTGGCCACATTACTGGAAACAAATGTCTTAAGTTTATTTTCCCTATAGTAAATTTTTTTCCACTGTAATGTTCTAAATGTACAAATACAAAAATACTTCAGACCTACAGAAATGCGCATCTCATATTTTTTATTTTCTTAGCTCCAGAAAAGTTCAGATATTCTTTCATGACCTTGTGAAGCACACAAAGTACATGTAATTGAATACCTTTAAGTCACATGAGGACTACAAAATGTCTCCTTTATTTTTCAAGAGATCAACGATAAGACATTTTTAAAAATCTAATATATAATTATTTTGAACTTGTACTGGTTGATCAATTTCTTAGATAGTGAAATTATAGAAGAATAATGACTGAGACATTCTAGAAAACCCATATCTCAGTATATGAGAATAAGGGATCAGTATTAAACATTACATTATGTAGTATAATGTAATTATGGGATAGAGAAACTACCTGAATTATATCCCACAGGTTAAACTAGAACCCAGTAAGGTCCCCTGGGTCTGTTCTTTACTTCATTATTGAATCACACTGATTACAAATAAATCTCGGGTAATTGCAAAAATGTAATTGACTTACCATTTTTGAGGCATTCAGCTTGTATCTGTGATTTACATTAATTAGTATATACTCTATAAGAAAACCTATAATGCAAATCACCAAAGGGGTAGAATCATACACAAACACATATTCTCTCCCTGTGTTTCTTTGTTTAATGAAAGATAGGTCGGTAGATAGACAGACATCTCTAAAATTTAGGTAATTTTTAAGAACTGTATTATCTCAGTGTTGACTTGGCCGGTTTAACAGATCTAAAGAGTATTTTGCTTCAAGCAATACTTCCTTGAGCCTTTATTCATCACATTTCTCTTTTACTAGCTTAAGAGAATTTTGTGACTGATTATTTAGTTTATTCGAAATACACCAAAAACTAAAATTAAGCTTATAGAAAAATGGCCAGGAAGTAATGTTTTTACCTATTTCCTTAATAAAATCTTATCTTTCTCCTAAAGTTTTCAACCTTATATATAAAGTAAATTTCTTCAGGCTCTAATGGTAGGTCTCACAATTGCGTACTTAGTGGACTTCCATTTATAGTAATTATGATTTTCAAAACTCTATAATAACACTAAGGTGTAAACTTACTTTTAGTCAATTGAATAAAAAAATAGAGACTTTTCAGGTAATTATACATATAATCTTAATTTAAATGATAGTGTGAAGGATTCCACAAGTGAAGGAATTACTTATGTAAATTTGCAGTTAGAGCAGTTTTTCTACATACCATAGGCTTACATTAGTCAAGGTTCCCTGGAGACACATAACCGATAGGATATAGATATATGAGGAGATTTATTCTAGGAAGTGGCTCTCTCAGATCATGGGAGTGGGACCACTGGTATAATTTCCATTTTCCCAGAACCAGGATCTCTGCTGTCCAAGGGCAAGGGAAAATGGATACCCCAGTTCAAGAGGAGAAAGCACCTTTTGTTTTCTTCATGCCCTCAATGGATTGGATGGTGCCCCACCCACATTGGCGAGGGGGACTGTTCTTTACTGAGTCTGCTGATTCAAATGCTAATCTCATCCAGAAGCAGCCTCATAGACACACCCAGAAACAATGCTTTACCTTTGCCCAGTGAAGTTAACACAGGAAATTAACCTTCACAAGACTCTTATGCCTGTAAGGATATTTTTAAAAAATCACTTTTTATGAGAGATGTATCATTGATGTCAAGTTATTTTTTATATTCAGAGAAATGAAGCATTTCTGTATTTTCTGTCATTAGTGGGCCAAGTACTTTCACTGTTGAAAAGCAATCCAATTAATCATTTTTGGCTTTGGCTGGTGTTATACAAATTAGCAACAATTCTGATAAACTTAAGTATGAGTGCTTATGGTGCTTATGTTAAGCAAATTAGGGGTGCCCAGTCATTTATTTTCTCTGCAGTGTGCGTGTGTGTGGTAGGGGTGGGGGGAGGGTGAATGGGAGGGGAGAGAAATAAGCACTCTTAGGAGTAATAAGGAAAAAATAAAATCTATAGAATATTTTTCAGAACTGAAAAACTGGCAGGAAGAGGAGTTAAATGTACTAGCCTCTAGGTAGCATTTATAATTGTGTATGTTTATGTGTGCGGAAAGTTGACAGATACACAAGTACCTATAGTCTGCTTTAGTGTTTAAACTCCAAGTGGACATATTTACTACATTTATTTAAAAGTTAGCACAGGGAAATATACACAAAATGTTATGATAACTCACAGAAAAAAAAATGTGACAATGAGTGTGTATATGTCCATGAATGACTGAAAAATTGTGCTGAACACTGGAATTTGATACAACATTGTAAAATGATTATAAATCAATAAAAAATGTTTTTTAAAAAAAGTTAGGACAATATTTAAATTACTTTACAATGTTTAAAATATTTTAATTTCTGTATGAGCTTCTATATGCGATCCCATGCAGTTGGAATTTGATAGTCCTTTGCATAAAGAGAATGAGAATTAGCTAAGAACTCTATTTTTTCAGGGTTTTTTTGTACTAAACGCATGGGCATTCCAAAGTATCAGAAGGTAACAGGAGCTAGATTTTATTAAAGGAAATGTGTGTCCAAGACATTTACTTCTTCAAATTTTTACAGCAGTAGTAAATCCTGCTCTTTTCTGATGTCCATATAGCTTCAAGTATCTTTCTCACTTAGTCATTTTTAACCAGAACTACGGACACATCTTGGCATTAACTGTCAAATGTATGTGCTGTACAAAATAGCCAAACTGCAATTACTGAGACGGAAAAGAAGAGAAGCAAGCGCTAGCAGTATGTAGCCACAGTTCATTAGTCAACTCATGAGCAGACATGGACAATTTAAATTAGTCTCCTTAGCAGTCCTGAGATTTGAGTCACACAGGCAGATAATGTATTCTTTAAAGTTCTGGGAAGTGTCTGGTGAGTCATACACTTGGAGGTAGAGAGAGATTTGATGGCCTGAGCTCTTCCTTCATCCTGTCCACCAGTTACCTCCAGAAGGAAATGAAGACTGCTCTGCCAGAAGCCACTCACATAGAAATTTGTTTCCATATACATTAAAGCTGTAGTTCCCCGCCTAGTTTGCTCCATCCTCTAAAGTAGATTCTGCTTTCTTAGACTCTACTTATAAAATTTTAGAAATGAAGTTAACCTAAGGATTATTATACTGACCAGGAAAGTTAGACTTAGCAATTAATAATTCCATGGCTCCTTAGTGGCAAAGCTGGTGATCAAACAATCTGCAAGACTTACAGCCCAGTTTCCAGTGACAACACTGTACTGCTTGCTTTTTCTCCACTCCTCCCCCTTTTATTCTCAGGATGGAGCCGAGAGGCATTGGAATAATGTTTTCGTAGCACTTCTTTAAGCATTTTCCTTCTCCATACACATAGAAAAATCATAAAATCACTGTTGATCATAACAGTCTGTTTCATTCTTAAAGGATCTCTGTATTTTTCCCCAAACAGCCTCAAAACCAGTGGATATGAAGTCATGCACCGGTCCTAGCCCTAATACTACACAGCTGTGCCACATCCCCTGTCCTATTGAATGTGAAGTTTCACCTTGGTCTGCTTGGGGACCTTGTACTTATGAAAACTGTAATGACCAACAGGGCAAAAAAGGTATGTAAATATTAACCCAGCATGCTTAAAAATCCTGTCAGTTGAGTCAAACCATGAATTATTAGCAAATGCTGCTCCGTGTTCCAGTGATCATTCATTTATGATATTTTCCAGAATGGCTAAAGAGAACTGATCACAAAAGATGTATAAACCTCCTCTGGTGATGGTACCAGAAAATTAAAACTGAAGAATGTAGGCAAGATGCTTGTTAATGTAGACAACAGATGGAGAACGTCTGAGGCAGTTGGTGCAGTGGTTCAGATGAGCTGTGGTGTCAGACTGACCTGGACTGGAAAATCTATTCTGTCTGCTGTTGTTTAGATAAGTTAATTAACTTATTTACATCTTTGTCCCTGTATCTGTAAAAAGGGTGTTAATACTGTCACCCAAGTTTTTTTTTTAAAGATTCAATGAGATAAACATAAAGCACATATTTCATTGCCTGACCCATAGCTAATGCCTAGTAAACAGAACCACTTCTTACTTTGGTGGTAAATAAACGAAAAACCCAACTCTATTGCTTTTATGATGCAAATAATATATCTAAAAGGAGCATAAATGCATTTGTTTACTACATGGTAGGTGTGGTAGGGTAATTTTCAGATGATATAAGTAATTGAAAACATTTTTCTATTTTATTTCAAAGGACGGTTTTCCAGTAATTCTAATATGTTCACATAGCAATAGACAGACATTAATTTTGTTATACATTGTCGGGAAGGGCAACACCTCTGTGCTGTTAAAGCACAGAACAAGACTTTAAATGCTCCTCGTTAGAGCCCAGATGGTTTAGATCCCTAATTCAAATTTCCAGGGAGTCTGAAATTCACCAAGGCTCAAAGAGACAATTTCCTGGGACCATCTAACTTCTTAGAGGCTTCTTTTCAAATTTAATTGCATGATCCTGTTGAAGAATTCAAAATAACAGCACTTTTGTCTGGTCATGAATATTTCTGAATAGCTTGAGATTTCATTGTGTCTCTGAGCATTGAGTAACTGTAGACCTTCCAAATCAAAAGCCCTCCCCACGACCCATCACTCTCTTTCTCTGTCTCTCTCTTTTTCTGTTTCTCTCTTTCTCTCTCTCCAGCTCTTTCTTGCTTTATTTTTACTATAGTAAGCTAACTCTAAAAGTCCCTGTTTGGCTATTCTGTTTATTCATTCTTTTTTTTTCATTTAATACATTATTAATGAGCTCACGTTGAGCTAGAGTTTCAGGATGCACTGGTGATTCAAGCAGATGTGACTTCTACCTTCTACCCTCATCCAGCTTTCACTTGGGGTTTTACTCAGCCTTGTGAAATATTCAGCCTATGATAGTCACAATAAATATTTTCCTTCCCCAATAATTCAGGATTCAAACTGAGGAAGCGACGCATTACCAATGAGCCCACTGGAGGCTCTGGGGGCACCGGGAACTGCCCTCACTTACTGGAAGCCATTCCCTGTGAAGAGCCCTCCTGCTATGACTGGAAAGCAGTGAGGCTCGGAGACTGTGAACCAGATAACGGAAAGGAGTGCGGTCCAGGCACTCAAGTTCAAGAGGTCGTGTGCATCAACAGTGACGGTAAGGAAGATGTCTCTATCCTGCAGTTATGAATGTTTCAGCCCGGAGATGTGCTGTTCCTTATGTTAAAATCTCATGTCTTCTCTCATCGTAGCTGGTTCTGTGTACAAACACAGAAATAGCTGCTGCTTCCTTCTTTCTCCCCTTCCTTCCTTCCTTTTGTTCCCTCCCTTCTTCCCTCCCTTCTTTCTCTCTTCTTATGGTGACTGTGGAGAGGGTCTTTGAACAACCACAGGGTATTTTTTACTTTGAAAACAGGTAACATAGAATAAGAAATTATCGTCAAGGCAATAATGTATTAAATTGCCAGATTTTAAAATAACAAGGAAAGGTAACATTTTTCTAAGTGTATTTTTTTAATCTGCCACAGAAAATGATATGTAAATAAAGAAGGGTTGTAAGGGTTGGTTGACTTGACTCCAGAAGCCTTTATCTCCCACCCTGATACTGTGTCTTAGGAATAGAATTTAATTCCCAGACTCCAAGCCATGAGGCCTGTTGCATCCTAGAGTTCTTGAATCAACCTGAGCTCTAGGGGCCTCCCCTCTAGGAATGTCATAGAGCCACCGGGAGGGGGATTTTCCACAAGATTCTTTGCCTGAACGATAGGAATAACCTTGGACTTTTACAACTGATTTTTGTTCAGTAAAATATCCCACCTTGATGTTAGCCTTGACGTAAGATTCCTACATTGTTTCCACGAACGCTGCTGCTGTTTAAGGGAGATCCCCCTTATTCTTTAGCAATCCCTGAGTCACACTTAGGAAACACAGAACTCGCCCAGAAGTTGTGTAAAACCTCTGGCAAAGATCATCTCTAAGGTTCCTTCCAGCTCTGGAGTCCTTTGACTCTGCCCGTCAGAACAGCACGAGCACCACGCCCCAGGGTCCCATGGATGACAGTCGATGCTGTTTACAGCATATGCAGAGACATTCTGGTGCCCCCTCGGGGGGGCCCTGGAACATCTGGTAGCCGTCATAATTCCTTCCATCCTACTCTTCCAGCAAGCAGAATTGTTTCCTCCTATGACTCAGTCACTGTTCAGTAGAGAAAGATACTCTCTGGAGTAAGAGACTGACAGACAGTGCTAGTACTGAGAAATGAGCCTTTCGATTTTGAAATGTCCCGTTTCATCTTTGTCCAGGGTCCAGGGTAGCCGTGGCAGATAGCATCACGTAAAATCTGAACCAGCACTTGAGGTTGGAAGGTGAAGAAGGGGGTTGTTGCTCCAGATGTTTTATGATGAATGTTATGTATCCTGCTTTTTTCTCTGTAGATAAAATTAGCTATGATACATTCAGTTCTACTCTAAAGGGAAAGGAAAGGAGATTGACAACTAGGAAAAAGAAAGCAAATGAAATGCATTCTGTTGTGCTTATGTACTCACTTCAAATCCTAATTTGTATCGAATGGCACTCTATATTACCCTTTGAGTTGCTGTAAAAATAGTGAAGGTCATATTTATTTTAGCATCATTAGTAACTCCCATAATGATACTGCTTCTTGATTCTTCTTCCTCAATTTAAATATTTTTTCTTATCCTCCTATAGATCTAGGGAGGAACTGGGATCCCAGGTATTATAGTAAGTATATTTGAGTGGGCTAGGATGAAAAAAAAAACCTCAAAGATGAAAAGTTAATTGTGCATGGAATTTCTGCTTAAATATTGTAAAATGAAAAATCAGGTTTCACTTACTGTAGTGGTCTTCCTGGATGTTTGTGCAAATTGAGTATGTTTGTAAAATGCTGGAGGAGATGGCTATTTTTTAAAAAAAATCAGTGGTTAATTTTAATTTTGTCTGGTACAAAAATATTTTGTTGGACAAATAGTCACCTCCTACATTGTCTTATTAACACCAAAGAGGAGCAGAAGAAGGAGCTGGTTATGTCTTGTTATATCGGAAAGTAATGAATGTTATAACTTAAAAGTCAGATTGATAACTCACAATATATGTAAGCTGGTTTCACTTTGTCCTCCTCACAAACAGAAGTGTATCGTTGATACTCAGTTTGTCATTATTGCTCTTTATCAGGACATCTCCATTGTTACATTTTACTTCCTGACATATATTGGTTGTAGTACAGCTCAGTGTTTCAACTTAGCCCAACTATAAGGGTGTATGAAATCAGGAAAAAAATTTATTACTGTAAATCCTCGAGGCTGTTCTGTCTACGTGTAACTGAAACATAACTGTGCTGGGTAGAATCGGTGCAAAAGCTAGAGACCTATGAACACTACTGCAGTGTTACCATGTGGTCACCTGGTGAGTGTTTAGCAGCTGCACCAAATGTCGCTTTGTAATTAAATCGAGCCCAGGGAATTAAAGTTGATTAGTTGTACAGACTCTACCTCTAGGCCTGGCTGTGGCCGTAGATTTTGTTTTATAATTAAGTTAAAGCTCAACTAGGGAAATGAAGAATTAGAACCTTTGAGTCTAGCAAACAATAAAAGGACTTTTTTCTCCCGCTTTTCTCACAAATTTCACAACTTTGTTAATGACCTCAAAGCATTTAAAATCTCTGTTGTCCTCCTGATGTGTCCTTTGTCCACGCTCCCAGAGATCATTAGGACTTGTTGCTGATGTTACTGTTCATTTTTCCAGTTGCCTTCTAAGGACCAGGGCTGGGGAAGGGTTTTAAGAGGACCCAGGAGTTTTATGTAGATCCTCTGACAGACCGAGGGGTGTAACAAAAATGAGAGATGAACGAGAACTCAGAAGACAATTAGACTCTCCAGAAAGAGAGAAACATTTTATGTGTAACAGAAAAAATGTTTTAAAGATCATCAGGAAAGCACTCTCAGATGTCTGAGCACAAGTAGAGGAACTGCTCTGAAAGTCTGGCGGTGATGTGGTGGTGGGGGAGCATGTGGAATCCTAGAGGATGTTGAACCTATGAGAAAACCCAAAATCTGCCTTCTTTCAGTTTTTGCAGTTTTGTGTGTGTTTTATTTAGAAGTATTTGGTAAGGTAAGAGTGTTTTGTTTCCCATATTGGTTGGTTAGAGACAGAAGGCGGCAAGGCTATTAGACTAAAAGTCAAAAAATAATCTGCTGTCTTACTGATTACTTGAGGATACTATGAACCAAATATTGTTTCCATATTTCTCTCCCCTCTGTTAAAAAAAGGTAAGTGATACCACCCGCATTTCATTTCCACGTGTTCTATTTCAGATATCAGAGGATTGACACCTTTCTGTGTAACAAAACCACACTTTGTTATTTCATTTTTTGTGTTACATTGTGAAGCAGTAAACCTCAGCAGTTTCAAAATACCTGTCACTCCAGTGCTACCTTTCTTACGTTTCTCCACATTAGTAAAAGTTAACATATGACCAATAACATTGACATGCATCAGTCACGTTCATACTGGACAGATTTTTATGAAACCAAAAAATATTTCTGTAGAAGTAAATCAATACCACAATTCCTTATTACGCAACTCATAGTACAGTAGAAAGAGGAGTGTCGGGCCAGGGCCCTTCAAGTGTGTTAAGACGTTCTTGAAGCTCAACTCCTTCCTCTTCCATTGGGTAAAGCATGTTGAAAGTCAAATAAATGGGAGTGCCATGATTATTTTGAATAACCTTAAATTACTTTATTTATTTTTTTAATTTTTTAAAAATGTATTTATTAAAAGTGACTTACTCAAAATATCATTAACAACAAATGTTTTACATACACCTAAAACCTGATTGTACACACCACTGTGTCATGCCACAGTGTTTACAGACTATCAGATTATTAAGAACATCTGCCAATGAATTTTTCATGTATAAATAGGAGGACTGTGTCAGTAACGTTAGATATTTATAAGTCGTACGTAGATGGATATAAGATATGTGGACATATGTATGTATTCATGATATGCAAATACTTGTTCAGTTTACCCTGTGAGATGCTGGACCTGCTTTCACAGAGCGTGCTAGACCCCGCGGTGTCAGGCGTGTGCAGTATAAAGTCAGGTTCCTCTCTTATCTGCAAATCGATTGAATTACAATCTATGGGGGCAAGTCCCAGGAAGCTGCGTTTCTTATGAAGCTTTCTGGATAATCCTGATGCACAGTCAAGTTTGTGAACCACTGAATTAAAATGAGAAAGGATTGTTTTGGAGGAACCTAAGACCTGACACTGTTACCCAAAGACTCCGAGCACCAAAGCAAACTGGCTGGACTAGGCTGATGCTGAAGAAGACCTTATGATTAAGACCATGTTGAGATTAGTACTGGAGTAAGCCTTTAAAGTAAGTTTTTCTGCCTCTTTTTGGAACCTTTTCTGCATATCATCAGAAGAGCCAACCCCGAAGGCCGTGGTTTTAGAAGTAAAGGAGCTGGGATTTTATACTCTCACATCAGTGAACCACTGGCCCACAGCTGCTGGCTGGAAGGTGGTTCCCAGAAACTTCCAGCTTTCTATGTTGGCCAGACCACCCTAGTGCCTGGGGTCATTCAGCTGAAGGTCACAAACAAGATAGTAGCAACAGAATCTGACAGACAGGTGCAAAGATCCAGTAATAGGGATCCCAAGGGATCCCAGCTGCACAACAACACTGTCCAGTAGGAGATCCAAATACAGTGGGAAGGAGAACAAATGTTGCATATATGAAAACAAACCTAAAACCTGATCATAGTGTCTTCTATGCTACAGAGGAATTCCCATGAGGATACAGTTGCCAGTTTCAGGAAATGCTTTGATGGGACATTTTGGTTAGCAAATCTGCAGTGCCCTCTGCGTTGCCTGGAAATAAGAAAAGAGCTGAATTCTGCAAAGTAAAATAAGAGAATTTTTAAGTTACCTCTGGTAGCATGGAGAGAGAAGTAAGGAGTTTGGGAATGATAAAAGAAGACGTCAGAAAGGTCTCGGAGAAGAAGTGAGAGTGAGGAAGAAAGGGGGAAAGTTCGACGAGGGTCACAGATAATTAGAAATACCCTTTGGTATGTAATCGGTGATTTGGTCTTCAGGTTTGGTCGGGAGAGTACCATTTTCTTGAGGTCATTAATAG